AGTGCGTGCACAAATCCCCTTCACAGCGTGCATGGCGGCTCTCAGCGAACCAGAGATCCTCACGGACTTCTGGAGCTCGGCTGTTCAAGCAAAAACTACTGCTACCAAGTATGAAGAGAGATGCCCTCATAATGGAAGTAGTGAACTGGAACAGATTTTAAAAGATCTTTAGTAATGACAGCCTTTCTCTCATTTATCAGAACGACCCGCTTTGCCTCTTTCCCCGACCACCTGGTTATCCAGATTAAGAAATTCACCTTTGGTCTTGACTGGGTGCCCAAAAAACTGGGTGAGCAAAGATATGGTTACATTTTTGTTTTGAAAACATGTTTTTTTTTTCTTCTTTATAAATTTCTGTGTACAAAAATGCACGCCAGAGGGGTTTACTATGAATCAAGTTTGTCGTATCCAGGCTGTCTTTGAGTCAACTGGCTTAACAAAGCATAAAACTCAAGTAAGGGATTAGGGGTATGAACTCTTTGTGAAAGTAGGTGTTTGAAAAGTGTTTTCTTATTTTCTTTTTTTTGGCCTAACTGAGTGTCACCTGCTTCAGTCAGACATTATTAGAAAAAGAGGTGATGGAGATCCTACAAAAATAGGCTGTTTATTTAAAAAAAAAAAAAAACATTAAATGTAATAAGTTGGTGCTGCAAAATAAAATAAGAGAGCAATGCTACATTGTTGAGATTTCAAAGGCCGTCCATACATCTATTCATCCCTCCTATGTGAAGTCATGTCATGGTAGTGGCAGGCTAACCAGGGTATTCCAGATGTCCTTCTTCCCAGCAACACTTTCCAGTTCTTCTTTGGTGATCTGGAAGTGTTCGTAGGCCATATGATATATAATGCTTCCAGTTAGTTCTAGGTCTACTACGGGGTCTCCTCCCAGCTCGACGTGAAACTAACTCAGTTTGGTTCCTTTAAACACGAAGGAAATCCTTCTGGATGTCTGAGCTCATCATTTGATCTTTACACAGAACCCATAACTCATAACAGTAGTACGAGACAGTGCCTACATTACTACTGACCCCTCATCACTTGTGAATGGGAACTCTGTCGCCACTCTGAGGATGAGGGAGTGCAGTTTTTTGTTGTTGGTTTTTTTGTTGTTTTTTTGTGGGGGAGTGGTTGTCTGTTTGTTATTGTTTTCGAATACTTGCTGCTTCTGTGTAAAACAAAAATATTTAAAAATTGTAGATGTGTAACATTTAAAATTTTTCAAAAAAATGCTTAAAATATTTTGATTACTGAAACTGTAGATTACTGAAAATGAGATTTCTCACTAGGGAACAACCACCACAACATTACAAACTGCAATAAAATCAAAATATATTGTTTAAAAAAAACCCCACACATTATTAGCCATTGACAGGAAGTTAACATTTCGAATTGTACTTGATGATGAGTGACTTCAGGTGGTTTGTAATAGTGCGACTTTTCTCTAATGCAGACGTGAGCATCGATGTTCCTGATACTCTGGACCTGAGCGGGCTACGTGCAACTGGCCAGCAGCCAGGGGAGGAGCTTCTGCCAGAGGTGGCCCCGCCCCCACTCATGACACCAGATGTGGAGGTTAAAGGTATCCTGGGTTCCCATGGCAACGAGGAGGACGACTCGCTCTACTCCCCACTGCTGTGTCAGTCTGTCATTTCTGCTCTTTCCCTCTCACTCTCATTCGCCCACCTTTGTTTCCTTCTGTTCTTTTTTTTCTGCCTTTTCTGTTCTCATGCGTCCTTCAGTTGCCTTTTTAAAAAACATTTTTTGGTTCAAAACAAGGTTTTGGTTCTGTTTCTTTCTGAGCATCAGTTTAAGTTTACATTAATATAAGTTACAACATTTCATTTTCATATTTGTTTTTTTCCTTTTGTAAATCTTGTGCTGCTGTACCAAAAATGACATCCAAGTAATTCAGCTGTTTTCAACTCTCTCTTAGCTCCAGTCCTCGATGACTCCACTGTGTCCCAGTTATGTGAAATGGGATTCCCACTAGAGGCCTGCAGGAAAGCGGTGTATTACACGGGGAACACTGGAATTGATGCTGCCATGAACTGGATCATGAGCCACATGGATGATCCAGGTGTGTAGACCAACAGTGATTTACCAAAAATCAAACCATCTCACCATGACTGTTGCTTTTCACATCTTCTTTTACTTCTGATTGGCTGCAGACTTTTCTGCCCCCTTGGTGTTGCCTGGCTGCAGCTCTGGACCTGGAACCACACCCACAGAGAGCCTGTCTGAGGAGCACCTGGCGACCATCGTCTCTATGGGCTTCAGCCGAGACCAGGCAACCAAAGCACTTCGAGCAACGGTCAGATTTTTTTTTTTCTCTCTTAAAGGGATTAAGCCTTAAAAGAGGGGATTTTCTTAATAGCATCTCAGGCACACAGTTTCTGCTGTCTCCTTTTTAATCAATGAGAAGAAAGTTAGATTACAGAGGGAGGGAGGATGAACTCAGGGCTGCAACAAGTGCAGTAGTAAGTAACATCTGTGGTATATAAAAACACTAGACCAAAGCTGCCTGCATACAGCATGAAAGCTGTAGCTTGACATTACATGATCCATCTGTCTTGGGGTGGGACATAGGGTATTGTTTGAAGTTCACTGACACACCTTGATTGTGAGCACTTGGTTGGATCGATCTTCCTCCCTCTTCAGGGACTCCTGAAAGATTCTTGTAAATGGTGACGTAGTTCTGACATTACCTCATATAGCTTAGCCTACCTAAAGGTGTTAGGCACACATTTGAGCTTTGGGAGATGGTTGATGACTCGGCATGCAGGCAAGCACAGCAGCTACTTCTCCCCAGAACAAATACTAACAGCGTGTTAAGTAATCTTTCTGTGCTGCTCCTGTCCTCTGATGGTCTTTCATCAGCTGTCTTTGCTCTCTAACAGTTAGACTCTTGGAAGTATTTGTGATCAACAGAGACTCAGCTTTAAGCTTAGAAATTATTTGACTCTTGACTGGTGTTTGTCACACAGAGTAACGTCCTGGACCGGGCAGTAGACTGGATCTTCTCTCACCTGGATGACCTGGAGTCCATGGATGTGTCTGAAGGAGGTCGCTCAGCTGCAGAGAGCGAGGGCGGCAGGGATCCTCCACCTGGACCCCGCGTCAGAGACGGACCAGGAAGTAAGTCCATAGGAGGAGATGGAAAGAGGAGAAATAATCTTTATAATCAGATTGTGTCTGCTCACGGTAGTTTAGACTATGTTAATAAAGTGCTTTAATGTGTTACAGTCAATCTCTTTTTCTCTTGTTTGTCCAGAATACGAGTTGTTTGCATTTATCAGTCACATGGGGACAAGCACCATGTGTGGCCATTATGTCGCCCACATCAAGAAGGACCAGCAGTAAGTACTTTAGACACATTGAGGTTCGAGACAGTGGTTCCTAACATTTCTCACCTGAGCAGCAGAAAGAGACTCATGAGTCTCTTTCTGAACTTTTGCTCAAACACGACCAGTTCCTACTACTTTCAGCTTAGCCAGTCTTTCATGTTCATATTGGCTTTTACAAGACTTCATGATGTTTAAGGAATATTTCACAGATTTGGTTGGAAATTTAAGATCACCTGTCATAACAGTAAAAATACCGCAACAAAATAACTGTGATTTACTGCATTCATGTCCCCACTTGCACAAAGAAATTCCTGAAAAACTTTTTATTAAATGTGCTTCCTGGTCCCTGAATTTAATTTATTTTCTAGTGCAGGCTAAACATCTGTAAAGAATTGCATTGAAATGATAATAAAGTAGCTTCAGCAGGGGGCACCATACTCCACATCTGCTCTGACAAAACTCATTTCATGGCTGCTGATGTGCGCAGTCTGATGTGTTAATCTGTCAAAGAAGTGAAGGTTTGAAGGATTTATATCAATCTGTCACCAACATAACGAAAGGAAAAATGTTTGTTTCATGTCTGAATTATGAAAATGGATCAATTTCTACTGAGTCCTGCTTTAATGTGTTATTATGACATCTGTACCTGAGTTGTTCATTTGGAGGCAGCAGGTGCTGTTAAACAGGCCTTTGTAAACTGCATTTTCTGTGTGTGTCTCACAGATGGGTGATCTTCAATGATCAGAAGGTGTGCGCTTCAGAGAAGCCTCCCAAAGACCTGGGATATCTCTACTTCTACCGCAGGGTGGCTGAATGAAGCAGAGCAGCGTTACGCTTTAGGTGAACGAGAAGATACGTGAACGCTAACAAACACCCATGACAAAATTCATAGTTGCACTCCACCAAGCTCTTGCAAAAGTCCTGGCACGCTTCACAACTGACAAAAGTGTAAATAAGTCTCCCAGATTGCGTATTACACACTCAATAAATTGGTGCAGATGTACAGATGAGATGTTGGGCTGATATTTTTCTTGAAATCCTCTGATTACAAACCACATGTCTGTTCAGAGAGCAGGTTTGGTTTGTTTCCTGGGCCTTGATGATCGGTCAGCCATCTGTTCAAGTTTAACTCATGATTTCAGAAAACCTGCTTCAGGGAACAAGTCCCAAACATTAGCGACTTTGTTGAGTCCCTTCACTTGTTTTGTTAACCCCGACTATTGATTTCCACTGCCATCAGTAGTCACTGCCGCCTCCGGTCCCCTCTTCTTTCATTGGATGATTGCAGCTTGGTGTCATCACTCCTCTACCTGTTAGTGAGGACAAAAGAGTTAAACACCCACAATAAGAGAAAATGTCAGTGAATAAAAAAAAAAAAAAAGAATAAAAACAAATGTGTGTTACAAAAAGGAAAAGCACCAAATCAGCTTGTTTTCCTTCAGTTTGGTGAGGGTGATATCTGGGTGATTCTTGTTTTATTTTGTTTTTATTTTTGAACAGAAATGCTTTGTTACTTCTGCTGTGGCAAATAAATAATTGTCTTTCTGTCAAATAAAGTGTGGTCTGTCCTTTTGCATTATGCAGCTTCTCTTTTTTATTTTCACATCCTGATTACAGACAAAAGTATGATGAACTGCCATTTTGTGTTGACAAATGTGCAGTTTAAGCATTTATAACTTGGGTTAGAGTGACCTAAACTGCACACACCACTACCAAAGAATGGGTTTCTCTTCAGATGCTTTCAAACCTCTTTAGTATTTGTGTCTTTGTGCTCATGTTGTTGGTGAAGTGAAGCACAGAGAGGATTCATTAACTGCTAAAAGACACAGAACGTGTTCAGAATTAAGGTAAGTGCTCAACCTTTTATTTAATTAATCCCAATTAAATCTCATTTTCGACCCTGGTGCATATAGATGGTTTAATATTTGAGGGTAAAAGACTTAAGTTGTAATTTTTTTTTCTTTTATCAGTTATGGGGCGTAAACACAAAATATCTTCAAATGATCCAAACTAGTTTCATGTATAGTTGTAGATGAGTTTTGGCATTCTTTGATGTAAATACGATTTTATTTTATGAGCATTTGATCTCTCACTTTACTCAATTTTAACCAATTCTTTTTAAAAGCCTCTCCTTTCTGCTGAACATACGAAGTTGAAGCAGTTTTATAGGAAACAGTTTAAATATTGTTTCAGACAAACTAAAAGCCACAAGATTAATATTTTTAATAAGTGACACACAGGATGGAAGTAGATCGAGGGTGTGGTGGTTTCTTGGTAGAAACTCTGCGGCTGTATCTGAAGTGAAAATGTTCACATTCAATTTTTTTTCATAGTTTTATCTTAACAGTAAAACTTTTTTTAAACCCTCAGAGTGAAGATGCTGGTGTGGTTTGTGTTTGGTGAGTAAAGATACTTCTGGAAAAAATACTGTGAGTCCTGAACAGACTGAAAGTGACGTCTCAGCAGTGAGAAGGGCATGAAGGAAAAGTGAAACTACAGAATAATGAGTCCCAGTGGGAAAGAAGAGGGCAGTGGTCACTTCGGTGGCCATCACCTTTTAAATCGTTCCTGTTTTGGAAGTTGCCTGGTTGTTGCCTTTCTGGTGTTTCTCATGTAGTTTTGATTTGGACCAAAGCTGGTGAAATGGCTTCAAAATGGTTTTTGCTTTCAAACGGGACAGATTACAGTTTAACTGACTTCGTTATACTGGGATTATCAAGTGTTCCCTTAATTTTTTGAGCAGTTTTGATGTAACTAAGCAGAGTGTTTGTTGACTCCATTTGTCTTCTTTTCAATGCTGGGTGCACTCTCTGCTGCAGGTGAAGATTTCTTTGCAAAAGTCGGGGGGAAAGTCACATTGAAGTGTGGGGTCAGCAGCTACAGACGCTCTCTGCAGTGGCTTCATGGAAATGACCTTCTTCATAGTGTTGATCAGAGAGGCTTCCCTCGCAGAGGTACTTGAGTATCTCAGAATACTTAACAGTAAACATCAGTATGTGATGATTACATTATATTAGAACATATTTTTATTTTCTGTGTTAGGCAGTGTTGATCTTGCACGGAGGTCAGTTGTGAGACAGACGAATCTGGAAATCTCCAGTGTGAGAGAAACAGATGCTGGACGGTTCACGTGTTCGGCAGATGGGACACGTCATGAACATTCACTTTCTGTGTTTTCAGGTAAACAGTTGTGCGATTTACTCTTGTAGGTCAGTTATAATGGAAAATAATATACATCAATTTAAAATCTACTTTTTACAAGTGTGCGCGCGCGCACACACACACACACACATTCCAGCAATTTTACCATGAATTTTAGGGGAAAATTCAAAATAGCAGAGAGCAAAATCCAGATTACAGTACTGAAAGTTCAAGTCTTAAAACCATAGAGTCCTACATTTCCTATAATCCAACATCCATCACAAACATTTAAATTTCTGTTAAACGTTTGTACTCCATACAAACATCATCACCTCTGTTCAGGGACTCAGGAGGTGGGCAGGGATGGGTATGGCAAGTGTTTAAGTTAACTTGGCTTAAAACGTTTATTGTACAATCTGGCCTAAAGTGTTTTGCAGTGCAGAAATAAAGGTTACCATTTTTCCACTTGGTTGTAGTAAACTATCGTCTTTTTCTGATGTTATGAGGGTTTTTCATGTGTCTAATGAATTTGGATCAAGTCCCTTGTTCATCATGGCCTCCTCTCTCGCTTTATGCTTCTCACTGTGTCCTCACCTCCTGCTGACAGTGTCGGTCTCTGTCAGTCCCACTGCTGATCTCTTGCTGGGCAGTGAGGCAACGCTCCAGTGTGACGTGAAAGGTCTCATTGAAGGTTGTGAAGTGAAGTGGAGGAGCCCAATTGTAGATTCACCTGAGTGGTCACCAACAGCTCAACTCAACCCTGTAACAAGCTCACATAATGGGACCTGGGAGTGTATCATCACCTGTGGCAGCGATCAGCTTAGTGAGCATCTGACCATCACAGTCCAAGGTAATACACAGATACTGGACATGCAGACTCCTGTATTCCACTGTGATCAAAAGAAAAACAAACATGTGTTTTCCTTTCCAGAGCCGCCTCCTACAACATCAACAACAACAACAGCTTCACTGTGCAGCTCGAAGGATAGCCCAAAGACCACCTTTGCTATTGTGTGCTCAGCTTTGCTTTCTTACTTCCTGCTGTGATTAATAAATAATTGTTTCTATGTCAAACTGTGTTCTTATGTGTTCATTATGAATTTCCTAATTTATTTCTTATTCTACGTAACTATATTAAAAGAGACAAAATCTGCTCAAAATTAAGGGCACACAATTTTTAATCACTACATTTTTAATAGAGGTAATATTTTGTAAAGTGACAGTTATTTTAACGTGACTATCCACTATCTTTTTGTTATAAAACAGTCCAAATTACTGGCTGAGCCACCAGTTTCAAAACAGACTGAATATTTAACATCTTTCATGAATAGATGCATGTAAGGAGTCTTAAGCTAGAAGCTTTTAAACAAGAAGAAACATCTATCAGACAATCTGAGGATGATATAAGTAATAATATAAGTATTTCCATCACAAGGAAAAAATAAGAACTTCTTAATTATTATGTTTGCCACAATTCTGACTTCAGTTTCTTTAAAGCTAGTCTACTCCTCAAGTGAAGCTGGATAAGTATAAACATCTACCTTACCTGGGAGACTGGCTCAGCTAATAAACTCCAAACAGGGAAATTGTGTCCCTTTATATACACAGTGGCACGCACACACTATGGAGTGTATGGCCAGGTATGGTTCTTCTTAGGTCTAGTTTTAAATAAAATAGTTCCAGTTCATTTCTCTGTAAAATGTTCCCTAAACTTGATTGATTTATTTCTGGTGCACAATCTGCTGCCTGATTGCAGATAATTTATAAAGTAATAAATAGACGCTGTTGAGACAACAGCCTAAATGTGAAGCAAGAAAGTGTTTCTGCACAACTGCATACATTCATTTACTTTGCACTTTGAAGAACATGCCTCTGCATCTCAGGAGCTTTATGTGGTGAGGTGAGGGGCAGGAAGTCGGTTTACTTAATGCATAACAGAAAACATAAATCATGCATGGGAAGCTAACATTTATTATTGTATCTGTATTTTGGATTAAACAGGCTCTGGGGTTTTAGTTTATAAAACATTGTTTAGGGTCATTGTATGAATGTATAAAAACATTTATTAAAAAATCCAGTAAATTTTCATTTCACTCAATTTCAATAAACTTAATATTTTACAGTGTACTTATGTAACAAATCTACATGGAAACTTTACATCAAATAAAATAATTTGGGGAGAAATAATACTGATCAGTCTGAAAGCTCACTCTCTAGAAGCCACAAACAGTCACTGCACAGGACATCATCAGCGTTTATGCGGGAAATTTGGTAGCATCATTATATTCACATCAAACACTCTGATCTATGGTTTCCCAGATGATAAGCAATAAACAATGCAACAGTTAACCCTAGGATATCATTTGTAAACTAAACTTCTGTTAAAAGGATTTATTTATTAAAGTTTTTATAAGGAATTTGGAAAACATTTTGATTATGACTGAAGTTATGCAGTTTAATCAATGAGTGTGATGATTAATTTCCAGACTAGACAAAATTTACACATATGTTAGATTAATTTAAAAACTTCGGCTCAACCATCCAAAGTAATGGACAATGGACAAAAGAGGTGAAGAAGAGAGTAAGGGCAGGGTGAAGCAGCTGAAGGCAAGAGTGAGGGATAATTTGTGACAGGAAGACAGCAGCAAGAGTGTAAGGGAAGGAAAGGCAGAGCCTAAGTTGTTAAGATTTTCATTGAGAGTGACCAGAATGGACAAGATTATTAATAAATACATCAGAGGGGCAGCTCAGATCCAGTGGTTTCAAGACACAGTTGTTGGGACAGGGGAGGATGCTGAGGGTGAGACGGGAGTAAATCATGTGCTGCGGGATGTACGACAAAATGAACAATCCAATCTCAGCAGCTCCTCTTCAGCCATCATAATCTTGAATCTTTACTGTATACAGATGTTTCAGTGCATCACTCTATTACAAGGAGACTGGATTGTTCCATTTCCGTTTATACATCATATTCTAGTTAACTGTCAATCAGAGCAGTGTGGTTGGAATTGATAATGGTTAACCACCACAATTACATTCACCGCTGCCTATTGCGGTAAGCATTGTGCATCACAAGTGCGTCACTGTGGAAAATGTGCTTTAGTGAATTTTTAGTGTTTGCAGTTTTATAGAAAGTAAAACACAGTAAACCACTGATGATAAATCAGCTTGAGCAAATGTGATGGAGAAATGGTTACTGAGAAAAATGAATTTTAGAAATTGAATTGGAACTTGAATCTTATAGTTATACAAAACTCCTAGTTTTGTGGCTTATCACTGAAACAAGTGTCATAATAAAGTGAGTCTATGCGTAACTTGTGGATGGAGATGTGTGAGTGGTGGTGGTGTAGGCTTCATTCTGGCTTCATTCACCACATGAACCACCAGCATTGCCGTTTTCCCTTGACTTTCCATACAGGTGCACACAAGCTGACACAAATTGATTGATTGATTTATTTTATATAAATTTTACATTTTTGTGTGCAAAAGACTTGATGAATATATGATATAAAAATCATTTAACATGGAAAGGTCTTTAAAAGATTATCGTGCATAACATTATTTTGTATTCGATTTAAGTCAGCTTAGAGCAACTTGGACTGTGTGATGAAACCGAAATAGCTGAGAAAACACACACAAGCACACTGAAAGTTCAAATTCTGCATGGAAAGGTATTTTAAAAAAATGCAGTCCTGTAAAATATAATGTTTAAGCTAGCTGTGTAACTGTAACAAGTGAGGCACATATAAATTTTGTTCATAATTAATAAATCATCAAGTCAGCTTTCTGTCTGATGCATTTATTTAATAGTTCACTACTTTCTTCAGTAAAGAATCTGTGTGTTGGTAAAGCAGCTGGTGGCAAATCCATTTCAACATTGTTCTTCTGTAGATTTGAAATCAGAAGACAAAAACGGAGGAGAAGATAAAAGGTTTCACTGAAAGTAACACATATGACAGACTCAGACACAGTAAATATAGAAAGAAGTTGACATTTAAAATCTAAAAATGCAGCACACAGTAATTCAAAGTCAAGTGGCTAACACTCAAATACAGTTTTTCAGAGAAGACAGATTTTCTTTTCTCAAAACTACAGATACAAAACCCCTGACTCTTGTGGCAAAACTTCACAAACATCAAAATCGTTGGATCTGCCCTTGATCTGCGTTTTACCATGAACACCACAGACGGCTCTGTAAACTGCACAACAACACTGGAAACCAACCAGTTTAACGTGCACTAAACTGAATAACCTAGAACAATATTCTTATGGAGCATTTAAATGACACAAAATCATGTTCTAATCTTATATCAAAGCAGGTTTTCCCTTGACAGAGTTAAGAGTTTTTCAGAAAAAATAAGATACTTCGTTTGTTGGGGGGTTTTGCAGTTTTTTTCCTTTCTTTTTACAATCTCCAGCGGGTCTTGTCACCCAGATGACCAGATTAAACAAGAAAAGATTATGTGAAGATGATAATAAACCCAAAGCAGGAGAACACTTTACCACTCAAGTAAGTAAGTTAGTAAGTAAGTTATAAGTATGTTACCAGAGAAAGGCCAGAATCCAGTCTCCCATGACAGACAGCCCAAGCAAACTGAGGCTTTAAATACACGAAAAAGACAGTCAGGGAGAATGGAAACATAAATGTACCAAGATAGCTGAACTCAATCTAGAGAACAAGTCACAGGGAAGTCAAACTAAAGACAAGGCACAAGAGACAAAGAACTCACGAAATAAAACATGAAGTAACTAAACAAACAAAAAAGAATCAGCAAAACAGAGAAACACAGAAGTATTTCAAGTAAAACATTTTTTTTACTAAAGTAAAGTAAAACAAAGACTCAAATACCAAATTATAAGACTACATATTTCAAAATTATAACTCTAAAACAGAACTCAGAATGCTAGAATAATCTTAAAATAAAATAAGGAAACCCTGTCAAATAGTAATCAAAACTCAACAATACCAAATATTAACGGCTCAAAAATGAACTGACAAAATCCACAGTCTATGACAGTAAAAGCTGTTATGCATAAAGTTATGATCTGAACAACAGTGTGTGTAGAAAAAATACAGCACAATAAGTCGAACAGTGGTTCACGGTTTTAGCTTTACATTGTTATGCATCACTACATCAGATAAGAAATGCAATTTTTTTTACTTTCATTTTTTAAAATTCCTTCATAAATCATCATTAAGATGCTTCCTGTGAAGAGTAACTACTAGTAACTGGGTTTCAGGTGGTTGACAACCAAAGAAACCTTAGCTGAGAACACACTTCTTATATACATCAAGTAAAACTCCCCGTCAGTTGTCTCCTTTACAGCAATATTTGTGTTTATGTTTGCATATTTTATCCACATCTTTCACACAGTTTGTATCCTATTTTCTCTGTCCCTTAGTATTTGCGACATCACCCAACCTGGCTGCCGATGTTCAGCTACGTCTGCTGCAGTGTTGTCGAATCTGCATCTTATACGCATGAAACAAACCAGAATCAAATCCAGAAAAGGGCCGAGAAGCAACAAAGTCAAAAGTTTATCAGCGATAACTTCAAAGCAGTGGTTATCCAAAAATACTCCAAGAGAACAAATGACACCGGGAAGGATCATCAGAAAATAATTAAAGAAGAACAAAAGGAAAATTCGTACAATTCTTTGTTTTTCATCAGTGGGCACTAAGGTGTCAGCAGCCAAGGCGTGAAAGGTCCATACTAAAAACAGGATGAACAAGAGAGCTGGAAGGAGGGCAAAAATATAGAGGATAAAAAACTTCTTGAAGACTACAGTAGGAACTACAGTTGCAATACAAAGGATCCAAATTAAGAGAGAAACCAGCATGGACCCCTTAGTTTGTCTGCTGCACTTCAACTTTGGGCAGGTGATAACAAAACACCTGCAACACAAGAGAGATATCACAATAGTATGTTATTCTGTATGAGGATAGAGAATACAATGTCTGGGAAGAACACACAAAGACAGACATTCACCTTTCAATAGCAATGCATGCCTTGAAATACCAACTAGCCGTCAAACCAGCTATGCAAATAATGTCATGTCCAATTACAGGTCCTTGCTTCAACTGCCAGGAGAACATTATGCTGATGTGGACGAGATTGGCAATGAGGAGGTTAGTGAAATAGATCACATGCTCCTTTTGTACCTGCAGGAGAGATTCGTTAAAGTCAAATTACTGCAGTAATAAACACAAATTGCAGAATTACACATAGAAATGTTTACATCAGATGATGCATGAACAAGGAGATTGATTTGATTTTGCTTTCTCTGCTGTTATTGTATTAAGCATCAAGCAAGTATTTACAAAAAAGAATTTAGACTTATAAAAACATTTTTTAAAAGATGAAAAACTGAGTGTTACAAAGTGTACAATATAATTAATAATCAATGCAGACCTGAGTGTTTTAACAAGTGTGAGAAAGAAAAAGAAAGTAGTAAGTGTGACTATTTACATACCAAGCAACACAACCAACAGATGACCAGTAAGGTCAAAGGAAGGCAGAACATGAAGTTAGTCCATATGATAAAATCGGAAAAATTCATCGCTTGCTGACTTTCTGTGTGAAACTGCTGTGAAAGATCCTTCATTCCTTTTCAGGAAAGAACCTGTTGTGTGGAATAGCAGGTTGTGCAACAGTGAGACTGTGGAATATTAACCAAATGATATTCATAAGAAATTATGGATAAAAAAAAAAACAGAGAATAAGCCAAATCTGTTTAACTAAAAACAAAAAAGAAAACAGCTGAATTTGTCATGCATTACAGAGTTCTGGACCCAAGTTCGAAAACACTGGATAAAGCCAAGAAAAACTCTGCAAGAATAGCCAAAATCCAAACCTGAACAGCTCAGACACACAGGAAATTATAAAAGAAACTGAGACAAAAGACTGAGTTGAAGACAGAACAACATACAAGCAGAAATGCAATCTGGGGAAATGGACATGCCCGGGGGGAAAACAGGACACAGGTGCAGACAACCCAGTCAAAGACCCAGGTGGGGAAATAAAAGTAAACACAAGACACTAACTACCAACTACTAACTACCAAAATAAAACAGGAAGTGAGAATCTTAATCAAATGTGAAAATGTAGACACGTAAATGAACTTAACACAGGGGAGTCGACACAAGCGCATCAGGCAGGAGATACTGAGGAAACAAATTAAACTCTAAAGCAAAAACTTGATTTCTCCAGCCAAGACAGAATTTTCCTTCACAAGTTGTTTATGGAGACAAACCTACATGAATAATTCTGTATTAAATTCTGTATATATTCTGTATATAAAAAAATGAATAAAATAATGCCAGAGTGATTCTACTCCAACCAGATCATACTCGATTGATCCATAAATATTTAATCAACAGCACATTACATTAAACCCTCTTGCGTAATTTTAGCTATAATTGTATAGTTTAGATGTTTAGTAGCAAAAAACATCTCTGTAGTAAAAAAAAGGGAATGAGTATGAGATCAAGTTATACGTCACTAGTAACCGCATTTCCATTGAGTTTCCATTTGAGCAGCTTTTGTACTGTTAATGTAGAAACAGTGCAAGCACAAAGGATAAAGAAAGAAAAAGCTTCTAGATCTTAAAATTTTGACTTGGCCTCTCCAACTACTCAACTTCTCAACTAAAGATAATAAGAATAAGTGTAAACATCAACCTTACTGGCTTCAGGACGACTTCCTGCTCAGCTTGTTTAGTGATTCAGTGATGTGACGCTGAAGTTTAGCTTCAGAGTGAAGCAGAACAGAGCACAGAAATGTGGTTTATATACTTCACCCCACCCACTGATGGGTACACACACACACACACACACACACACACACACACACACACACACACACACACACACACACACAC